TGCGTGCGTGCGTGCGTGTGCACGTAGACGTGCGTGCGTGCGTGCGTGCGTGTGCACGTACACATGGGTGCGTGCGTGTGCACGTAGACGTGCGTGCGTGGGTGCGTGTGCACGTACGCATGCGTGCATGCGTGCGTGCGTGCGTGTGCACGTAGACGTGCGTGCGTGCGTGCGTGCGTGTGTGCGTGTGCACGTACACATGCGTGCGTGCGTGTGCACGTAGACGTGCGTGCGTGTGCACGTAGACGTGCGTGCGTGGGTGCGTGTGCACGTACACGTGCGTGCATGAGTGTGTGCGTGCGTGGGCACGTACACGTGCGTGCGTGCGTTCGTGCGTGTGCACGTACACGTGCGTGCGTGCGTGTGCCCGTAGACGTGCGTGCGTGCGTGCGTGTGCACGTACACGTGCGTGCATGAGTGTGTGCGTGCGTGTGCACGTACACGTGCGTGCGTGCGTGCGTGCGTGCGTGTGCATGTACACGTGTGTTCGTGCGTGCGTGTGCACGTACACGTGCGTGCACTCCAATGTGCTGAACATTACCGCAATAGATGAGAAGACCTATTCCATAGACGAAATAGTGCAAATTGAACAAGTAGAACAAGAGGTGGAAGGCTACTGCTGTGTGTCTTCTATAGTGTCTCGCTTATTCAGTATAAACATAAGGCACTGTTCGTATTCCATGATTTCATCTAAGATTTAACTCGTTAAATCTGAGCATCTGGGAATTAATCATAGATTTATGGCGGATGCTATGTTTGTTAGTTCTGTCCTTTCCTATATGTGTTAAATCTGTGTGTCTAATTCTGTGATCTCGTCCATTGATACAATAATGACATCGTGGGAAAGCTGTCATGTAGAGGGTATATCAATCAACCCCACGCTTGCGCACATGATCACGCCGAGTTAGACCAATAAACCCCACGCATGTGCATATGATCAGGCAAAGTTAGACCAATCAGCCCCACGCATGCGCACATGATTACAGAGAGTTGGATCAATCAACCCCACGCATGCGCACATGATCACGTGAACACCATACCAGTTTCGTTGCAGGTGTAAATGTGAAACTTTCTAATCAATAAAACCCAGTCTGCTGCTAACAACTAATAAAAACTGTCTGTGTAATAGCTTTCAACATGGCGGGGATGAGAGGCTGGTTTACAATGTAAGACTCGATGTATTTCACTGATGATGTTTTTACTTTCGGCGCCGTTGCATGCTCGCGCCACAACTCCATGAGTTTTATATCAATTCGACTGAAGCTGCTACATATTATGCTCGATGACACAATTGTAAACAACGATGTAGGATTCGAACCACGTAACCTGCATTCTCTCTTACCTTTTCATTGTTAGAAACTAACGATAACCTCTCTTGCAACAACATTTCATTAAATGTTCACATTTTTGCACCAAAGCATGGATGATGATTATAGGCTTAGCAAATAAATAAATAAATAACGAACCACGTAACCTGCATTCTCTCTTACCTTTTCATTGTTAGAAACTAACGATAACCTCTCTTGCAACAACATTTCATTAAATGTTCACATTTTTGCACGAAACCATGGATGATGATTATAGGCTTATTATTAGCAAATAAATAAGTGTGTGAATTCGACTGTTGACAGTTTCTTGTTGTACTCCAGTTTTCTATTCAGCTGATTATTTTTCTCACATCAATTTCG